TTAAACTAAGCTACTTGGTCTTGAAAGAGGCCCTTAGGCGTGAATGACCTTGTTTGTGTACTAACCATCCTCACAAGCATAATTTTGGGCCTTCTTCATTCACCCTCTTGTTCCCTGCCATTTGAAGATCACTAGTTTTTAGATCAAAAGATAGAGCCTTTTTTTTCCTCCTCTCTGTTCTCCATCAAAGGGACTCAGTTTTACTCTCATGTTTTCCTAGGAATGTCAGCATTTAGAAAATGCTGGGTCAGGGTATTAGATTTATCCAAAAAAGTGGTCACCAAGGGATGAAGAATGTTTATAGATATCTAATGTTAACCTAGACCTAAAGATTCCTATTTGTTTTGAAATCCAAACATGAAGACTAAAGTAATATATGCAAGTGTTAAAATCAAAATAGAAAAAGAAAAATTGAACAGAAGCACATAAAATGCAGAAATGCCAAGAGACTACTGCTTTTAACAGTTTCTGTTTATAGTGATTTTATTGGTTATACCACTGTTACTGTAAATAATATACATATACCACAATTTCTTGATTTCTTAACATTGGATGATACTGTTGACTCCCTATTATGAAAATGAGGCATATAGGACACTTTCATTACTTTCTGTCCTCTCATTTTCCCTCCTCTCTCCATTTACCAATTTTTGTAGATTGTTTTATCGTTTTGGGTTCTTCTGGGTAGTTACCTTTAAAACTGTAAATACTGTAGTTAATTAACTCTTGTGTTTCAATCTGACAGTTTTAACTCTCCACCATATGAGATTATACTATCTACCTGTCCTGCCTCTACTTCCCTGGTAGGTCTGCCTTTCCATTATTTTTTACGATATCAAGGTCTGTAATATTTACATACTCTTCCTTAACTATGATAATTCACTTTTATTATGGTTTGATTGTAAACATTGAAAATCAATAAATAGCATATACGATACTATGAATTTTGTAACTTTTCAATATGAAACCAAGGAGTATGATGATTTTCATAGAAAAGGAAATGGAACACTCACTGGACAGAAAAAGTTTCCACTGTCAATGTCAAATAGATTCTTTTTTTTAACACTCCATCAATTTATTAAAATCATGCTCCATTTTAATATTGTGTTATATGCAAGCTATGGATTTTTTTAACCTTCTTTAGGAATTTATGGTTAACTTTTCTCTAGTTAGTTGTGGATGCATTGGTTGATGTTGAATTGGGCTGACATAAATGTGGCCGGCAGTTGAAATTTGAATTATTGGAAGTTCTTGCTTCAGAAAATGTGTCTATGCATATGTATAAGAGACCCTGAATATTAGGTTTTTAATTGTCTTGGAATTCATATAATTTCACAGTAAACACAATATCTAAAAAAGGAAATATAAAGGGTTTTTTCCCCTGGCATTTTATTCATAGTCAGGTCTTAATGTTTTTCTTTTAATAGTTTTGGTTTTTTGAATGTCAAATGCTTTTCAGTTACACCACAGAATCCTTAGTCACATGTTAATTCCCTTTTTTTTGCTCTGTATCTGCTACAGTTAATTTTTTCAGCTTGCAGTGATCTAAAATTCAAACACTTAAAATACTGTGGTTTTGTACCCATATTTTCCCTGGCCATATTTAAGAACATTAACAGCATCAGTTAAGATCCTAGTTCTTCAGGGTGTCTTCTCTTCTGAATTGTTTATTTTGTGTGCATTTGAAATCAAATGTATCTTAAAAATCCACTAAACTATTAAAACAAGTGAGTTTAGTAAGGCTGAAAGAAACAAGATTAGTATACAAAAACCAATTGTGTTTCTGTATACTTTCAATAAACAATCCAAAAATAATTCCATTTATAATAGCATAAAAATGATAAAATACATAGGTATAAATTTAACAAAAAAAGCACAAAACATATACTGTGGAAACTAGATAACATTGTTGAAAGAAAGAAGACCTATATAAATAGACAATCCATGTTCATGAATCGGAAGATTTAATATTGTTAAGATGGCACTACTCCCCAAATTTATCTATATATTCAGCACAATTCCCATCAAAATCCCAGCTGGCTTCTTTGCCGAAGTTGACAGGCTGACTCTAAAATTCATATATGGATCTTTAAGAGACCTAAAATAGCCCAAGCAATCTTGAAAAAGAAAAAGTTAGAAGACTCACACTTCCTGATTTCAGAAGTTGTTACAAATCAAGATCGTGTATTACTGCCATAAGGATACACGGAGATCAGTGGAAGTCCAGAAATAAACCCTCACAATTACGGCCAATTGATTTTTTTTTAATTAATTTATTTTTGGCTGCATTGGGTCTTCATTGCTGCGCGCGGGCTTTCTCTAGTTGCATCGAGCGAGGGCTACTCTTCGTTGCGGTGCACGGGCTTCTCATTGCGGTGGCTTCTCGTTGTGGAGCACGGGCTCTATGTGCGTGGCTCAGTAGTTGTGGCGCACGGGCTTAATTGCTCCACGGCGTGTGGGGTCTTCCCCGACCAAGGCTCGAACCCGTGTCCCCTGCATTGGCAGGCGGATTCTTAACCGCTGCGCCACCAGGGAGCTCCCTACGTGAATGTTTATAGCAGCATTATTCAAAGTGGAAACAACCCAGATGTCCATCAACTGGTTAATTGATAAAATGTGATTTATACATACAATGGAATATTATTTGGCAATACAAAGAAATTAAGTACAGTTGATCCTTGAACAACGTGGGGGTTAATCCACGTGTAACCTGTAGTTGGCTCTCTTCCTCCATGGATTCAACCAACACTGACCATATAGTACTGCAATACTTGCTGTTGAAAAACAGTTCAAACTTGCATTGTTCAAGGGTCAACTGTACTGATAAATGCTAAACGTGAATGAATCTTAAAAACCTGCAAGTGAAAGAAGCAGTCATAAATGGACACATATTGCTTGATTGTATTTTATGAAATGTCTAGAATAGGCAAATCTATAGAGACAGAAAACAGATCAGTGGTTGCCTAGGCTGGAGAGGTTGGCAAAATGTGGGGAGGGACTGCTAAATGTATATGGGTTATCTTGGGGATGATGACAGTGTTCTAAAATAGTTTGTGGTGGGAATTCCCTGGGGGTCCAGTGGTTAGGACCCGGCGCTTTCACTGCTGTGGCCCAGGTTCAATTCCTGGTTGGGGAACTAAGATCCTGAAAGCCTCATGGCACAGCCAAAAAAAAAAAAAAAAAGATTGTGGTGATGATTGCACAATTCTATGAATATACTAAAAACTATTGAATTATACACTTTGAATGAATTGTACATGAATTATATCCCAAAGAAGTTAAAAAATGTATTTTATTGCCCCTGCAAAGTCACAGGAATTCTTCAAAGTTTCTCTTATATCTGACACATTTAGGTAGAATTTCTACTACTTATTTCCTACTTGGTTCAATTATAATTCTTTAATGTTTATGTTGTTGTTAATATATAATTTAGAAATAGAAAGCTTGCTTTTATCCTGTGCTTTTTTTTCACCACCTCACCTCAGTTTCCAAGCTTAGTGTACTACAGAAGTGAGAATAATCTTGTTCCGACTTGCAACGTGAATATTAGTAAGAACATCTAACGGTGAAATCTCACCCTTCTGAAACCTAGCCATGGACAAAAGTGGAGGTGACACAACAAAATCCATCCACTAAAGCTGCTTCCCTTTGTTCATTGGAAAACCATCAGGCGCCTTCCCAGCCTACTTGCTCGTATTTTACATAGTGTTAAAATAAGCAGATCATCAGTTTCCAAACCCAACAGATTAGATGTATCAAGTTAGAATGGGTGTAAAGGGTGTACTGTAGACTGAATTGTGCTCCCCCCCCCCATTCATATATTGAAGCACTGACCCCCACGATGTGATGATATTTAGAGATAGGGCCTTGGGAAGTAATTAGGTTTAGATGAAGTCCTCAGGGTGGGGCTCTCACAATAGGATTAGTGTCCCAAAAGAGACACCAGAGAGCTTGCTCCCCTCTCCCCCGTGGCAGGACACAATGAGAAAGAACTGTAAGGAAATACATTTCTGTGTAACACACCCAAAATGTGGTATTTGGTTAGGGCAACCAAACTGAGACATGGACAAAAGATGGTTCTTAGCCAAACGGTGAGGGAGGAGACAAGGAAACCATGGTGGAGAGGGCTATAAGCACAACCTGGCTATCTGAATCCTATTCAGTATAAGGAAAACACAGAGCACCAACTGAATAGGCCCTGAGACTTCCTATGTCACAACACAGTATAATAAATGAGTTTCATAATAATCAACCGGATTCATCAAGAAAGGGTTGGTTTTCTGTTTAAGGTGGTAAAAAGTTTTAAAATCTGTATTAGAAAAATTTCCATCCAAAATAGTTCAAAGTACTCATTTTTCGAAAATTGAACTAAGTTTTCTGCTCTCCAGAATGATTCATTCCTCATAATTTCAGCTACCTTTTTGTTTGTTTGTTTGTTTTCTTTTGGCTGCATTGGGTCTTCGTTGCTGCATGCGGGCTTTACTCTAGTTGTGGCGAGCAGGGGCTACTCTTCATTGTGGTGCGTGCGCTTCTCATTTGTGGTGGCTTCTCTTGTTGCAGAGCACGGGCTCTAGGTGTGCGGGCTTCAGTAGTGGCACGTGGGCTCAGTAGTTGCGGCACACGGGTCCTAGAGTAATCGGGCTTCAGTAGTTGCAGCGCATAGGCTCAGCAGTTGTGGCTCACAGGCTCTAGAGCGCAGGCTCAGTAGTTGTGGTGCACAGGCTTAGTTGCTCCATGGCATGTGGGATCTTCCTGGACCTGGACCTGGGATCGAACCTGTGTCCCCTGCATTGGCAGGCAGATTCTTTTTTTTTTTTTTTTTTTTTGCAGGCAGATTCTTAACCAGTGCACCACCAGGGAAGTCCTGCCTTTTTGAATTGTTACTAAGTTCTTATTTTTCAAAGCAAGGAAAGTGAAGGTAAATTTCTACTTTCCTTGTCCTAAAATTGTATTTGAAACAGGATACAAAACTTCTGTCTTCTTTAAACTCTGTTTTCCAGGAACTCGAATCATTTATGATCGAAAGTTTCTGTTGGATCGTCGCAACTCTCCCATGGCTCAGACCCCGCCCTGCCATCTGCCCAATATCCCAGGAGTCACCAGCCCCGGCACCTTAATTGAAGACTCCAAAATAGAAGTAAACAATTTGAACAACTTGAACAATCATGACAGGAAGCATGCAGTTGGTAAGAGAATGCTGGTATTAGGGACCAAGAGGGTAGCCCTGGGATTCGAATGTCAGTCTGCTGTGGGTTGAAAAAATGTTGATGCTTCACTTATAACTAATATTCAGTCATATGTCTCTAAGGTTCCCCACATTCCCCTCACCAAGGCTTATTGAATTGTTCTGAAAACCCTGAGTTCTAAACCATAACCAAACCTAATCTAGGTGGGGGTTGGGGGGTGAGGAAGAATCCAAAATCAGGGAATGGTAAATCCCAAAGAGGACTCCTTGAACCTGGGCTTTGTTGGACTAAGGGTAACACACACACAGAGAAACAAAACAATTTAATAGCTCCCATTTCCATCACCCTCAAGAAACAGAACTTGCTTCTTACAAGAAGAACGTCATTTTTGTGGTGTAGGGCAGCGGTCCCCAACCTTTTTGGCACCAGGGACCAGTTTTGTGGAAGATGATTTTTCCATGGACTGGGGGGATGGGGCGATGGTTTTGGGATGATTCAAGTGCATTACATTTATTGTGCGCTTTATTTCTATTATTATTACACTGTAATATGTAATGAAATAATTATACAACTCAATCATAATGCAGAATCAGTGGGAGCCCTGAGCTTGTTTTCACTTGCCCCTCACTGATAGGGTTTTGATATGTGTCTGCAAGCAGTTGATTTATTATGGTCTCTGTGCAGTCAGACCTCTCTGCTAATGATAATCTGTATTTGCAGCCGCTCCCCAGAGCTAGCATCGCTGCCTCAGCTCCACCTCAGATCTTCAGGCATTAGATTCTCATAAGGAGCGCACAACCTAGATCCCTCGCGTGCGCAGTTCACAGTAGGGTTCACACTCCTGTGAGAATCTAATGCTGCAGCTGATCTGACAGGAGGCAGAGCTCAGGCGGTAATGCGAGCAATGGGGAGTGGCTGTAAATAGAGATGAAGCTTCGCTTACTTGCCCACAGTACCAGTCCGTGGCTGGGGGGTTGGGGACCCCTGGTGTAGGGAAAAACAGTATGGTTTTTCACCCCGTTTTCCAGGACTGCCTATAATATTTCAGTAAATACTCCCCCATACTCACACACACACGTTTCTTAATGAGTCCTCTCTGTGTCTGTGGAAATGGCCAGCTCCTGAAGTACACCTTGGATTGCACTCCATGACCCTTTTACACGAGCCAGCATTCTCCCTCCTCAAATTCCAAATGAGTTTTTAATGGACAAAGTGTCGATTCAGAGCAAGGCCAAAGTTCAGAGCCTCCAGAAGAATGTGCTGACTTGATAGATGGCCAGGTGCTCCCCAGGAGCTCCTGTTTGGTCAACCTCTGGACAAAGGGACACTAGAAAGTTTTCACTTGTATCCTTTCCCCCAGTTGCTCCTCCCTGTGGGTGATTTGACTGCCATTCTTGTTTTTCCCCCAGATTAAAAAGACTAGCCAAAGCAAAGCAGAATAGTTGTTTCAAGGCTGCAGGGAATGGGACAGTTTGAATTCCTTTTTGACCTTTGTGCAAAGGGAATAGTAGTTAAAACTGTTTTTCTTTACCTCTTCATGCTTAACTTTTCCTGTTCTTCATTCTAACCAGGAGATGATGCTCAGTTTGAGATGGACATCTGACTGTCCTGCGAGGATCAGAAGAAAAGCGGCAACACTGAGACATGTGTGTACCTGATTTGGCCAATAGGATCAACAATGCAGAGACAGAAGAGGCAGTACCAGCAATCCCTGCTGCAGTCTCCTGCTCCCCTGCTCCTTCTCCGGGTGCCAAAGGATGCAAAGATGAGCTGCATCTGACCATTTCTTCTCCCTATTTCCTGTTCCCCTTCCCAGTTAGACAGTTAGATTGAAGGCCCTTGGCATATTTCTGTAGAACTAAGCAGCCCACAGAGGAAAACAGTTAACCTCTGGTTCCCCCTTCCCCCCATTTTTTTTTTAATCCCAAATCAAATATCAACCTACCAATAATTGGCTGGCTGGAAAGTCTGGGGAAGTGATATGGAGGTTTGATAGGTTCAGCATCATTCCTGTTCTTACCCTCTGTCTCTCCTCCCTGTCTTGCTCATGTTTCAGTGCTGCAAAAGTCTGAGTTTGGGGTCTTGAAAACCCTTGGATGGAAATAGTAAACAGGAAGAGAGCTGCTTTCTCTTTTACCTTGAGGTGTTTGTCCTTGGGGACGGAACGCTGTTTGTACATCTCTGGTAGCATTACCCTGGGGCACTGTTTTGAGGTCCACTTCCCCTCCTTCCTCTGGGAGGAATGTCTTCTGTCTTTAGTATTATAGTTCATCTTCCCATTCGTTTGCTTATCACAATTGTGCAAACATTTCTTAACTCTACATCAGAAGGGGGTCTTCGGTCACCAGTTGTTCTTTTTCCTCCCCTTCTCCCACCCCTCCCTGCTTGCATCTTGTTGCTTGCAATCCTTTTGTACTCTGAGCTATCCACGTGATTTCTCCTGCTCCCAGAGCAGGTCCCGGAGGCTCTTTGGATAAGGCCCGATGTATTGGGTTGACCAAAAAGTTCGTTCTGGTTTTTCCATAAGATGTTACAGAAAAAACAGAACGAACTTTTTGGCCAACCCAATAGTCCTCTGCAGGATGATACCCAGGAATGACCTCGGAAGACATTGAACTGTTTGAGTACCCAGGCTCAGTAGTCCTTGTTTTTCAGTCCAGTGAGCATTGTGCTACTTGTTGTCTGGCATTTTTGAGTTTGAAGTTGACTTTCAGAAACGCTCTTAGAAAAGAGCTGAACTTCTTTCCTCTGTGGACCTGCTTTGTTTGGCTGCTGAGATAGATAAGCATGGACTTAAAAATGCGTTCCTTCTGCTTTTCTACCTTTCCCATGGTACTCTGAATTTCCCCGTCTTTCACTCCCTCCCTCCCTCCTTCCTTCCTTCCCTCCCTTATCTCTGCCAGGCCATTTTTCAAATGTACATCCGGGATACCTCAAGTGTCGGTATCTGATAATATCTGTCATTCCTCTTAACTGAGGAGTGACCTTTTATTTTTAAGATGAGTACAAACCTATTTTTAGATATGTTTTCAGTACAATTTTGAACAGCAACTTTTTAATTACACATCTTCCAGTGTTAGGAGGGTGAGGATTGTCCGTAGGCGAGTCTGCTGTTCCACGTCACCATCCCTCGTCTTCCCTAGTCCCTTACGAGCTCTTTCCTTCTCGCTCTAGTTTTGGGTGTGCATGTTTGGAGTTTGTAAGTGGGTGGATTGTGAAACTGGACCCTTCTGCCTTCCCTGGGTTGTTCATGGAAACCTCATTCTTTTCCCTTACCCTTTGCTGCTTCATTCCCCATCCCGTGGTCCTGACCATTGACTGGCCCAGTAATCCTGGGAGAGTGACTCCCCTCATAGAAAGACAAGTAAAATAGCCACTGGTGTCCCGGGAATTTCTGGTTGGATTTGGTGCCCTGAACCCTCTTATTAAGAGATCAGATCCCAGGGTGAGAGTAACAGGCCAGTTGGCTAAGATAGAAAGCTGTTTTTCTTTTGAACTATGAAGAGACCCTGTTTGCGAATACATTTTAGACAGAAAGAAGGAAGGGTGTCTGAGGAACTTTGTTCTGTTTTCTGCTACAAAATGTGAAGAGTTCAAAAAGTGAAACCTTTTGTGATGGTTGATGTCTCTCAGGAATGAGCTGGATCTCCAAAGTCTTGGAGATGCTTTCAGTCTCAAAAATTGATGAATGGAAAAGTATTTTTTGTTTGCTTTTTAATGTATCTCTGTTTTGATTTTAATTAAACTCCAAATTTCACTTTACATACTCTTGGAACAACTTAAGGTGCATTGGTAATTTGCATGAGAAGCTTGCCCAGGAACTCGTTGTCCCCTGGGAGCTTGATTCTTTGGGAGTGACGCTTTCATCCTCCTCAGGGCCCGGCCTGGGCACCCTCTGGAATCTGACTCCACTACAGCGAGTAGTCGGGCTGTCAGCAGAAGCACGCGCCCTTGTTTGCTCTTTACTGCTGCACATGAAAACTCGGCTTCCTCACTGAGAGACGGGGAGTGAATTTAAAACATGCCAGCTTGAGTAGTCTTAAGATGCCATGTTCCCCTTTTTTGCTCTCTTGAGGAATTGCTGCGTGTGGCCCCCTAATCAGAGGCCATATTTCTAGTACTTCTTGGGAGTGTCAGCTGTATAATATAGCAGCTTCCCAATCCTTTAGCCATCTCTGTAACGACCTCCATACTGCTTGGTGCAATTCCTTCCTGGAGGCCACTGCTACTAGAGATACTTTGGCCTCCATAAATCGGCATTGCAAAGATAATTTCACAAGGCAATAGATGAACTTCCAACAGATGACACCTTTGTGCCATGCCTCATAGAATCATTTTCAGGGCAAGCCAGAATCCAGTAGGTGGTTTACTCCTGTATGTTTGGAAGGAATCTCACAGTTGAAGCCCTAAATGAATAATCTCTCTGGGCTTTTTCCTGGAAAGGGAACCTCCTTAGGGTAGCATTTGAGTTAGGCGGTTCTTAAAATCTTATTGATTATTTGTACTTTTCTTCTTAGGAGAAAACCATGTTTCTGTACTTCTGGGGACAATCCATGTCGGTGAGAAATGACCTTGTCCAAATTCCAGCAGGAGACATGCATTGTCATGATTCTACCTCCTTCGTAGTGTGGTGCATTAAGTTCACCACTTCCTCATATTCTGTTGAAATAGCTATTGTGTTCTCAAGACCACAGTGTAGAGAAGCTGGCTTCTAGCTATTAGGCTTCCAAGCCAAGAGTTTTGTCCCTCCATCTGCGTTAGTTATCTATTGCTGTTTAACACATTACCCCAAAACTTAACATCTTAAAAGAGCAAACATTATCTGTCAGTTTCTGTGGTTGGGACCTGGGAAGCAGCTTCACATGATGGGTCTGGCACAGGGTCATAGGAAGTTGCAGTCAAGATGTTAGTGGGGTCTGCAGTCACCTGGGGCTTGAGAATCCACTTCTGAGCTTTCTTTGTGGCTGTTGGCAAAATGCCTCAGTGTCTTTCTGTGTGGATCTCTTTTTAGGGCAGCATGAGTGTCCTCACAGCATGGCAGCTGGCTCCCCCTGAGCAAGTGATCCCAGAGAAAGAGGGCAAGGAGGAATCTGCAGTGCCTTTTATGACAGTCTCCGAAAGCACACGTCATCACGCCTTCCTATTCCGTTCCTTAGAAGCAAGCCACTAAGCCAGCCTACACTCAAGGGGAGGGGAGTTACACCCCACCTACTGCATGGAGCGGTATCCAAGAATTTTGGGTGTACTTTAAAACCACCTCACCCCCAATAGAGAATGAAACCAGGTCAACAAGAGGGGGTAGGTTTAAAGTAGATGATATACTGAGAGAGGTGTTGTTACTGAAAACAGTTCTCTTAAGATGTGCATCGACAAACAGATGAAAAACGGATTCTCTCCCCATGGCTACTGCCAGTTTTAAGAGGGGAGGCAAGAAATGGCAATTCCCAGGAGAATGTATCTATACATTTGCCTGGTGTATACTACCAGCAGCCCAAGGTTGCTTCTTTGTAAGTCCTTGGCTTGGTATCTAAGACTCAATACTGCTTGCTTGGTATCTCCTTTAGCCAGGAATTGACAAAGGGAATTGGATCCTTCTATTTGAGCCACTCAAATGGACTTAATTGGAGTCAGGGCTGTTAAGCAAAGGGAGCAAACTTGAATTACATTTTGGGTTACTGGGCTGAGGAAAGCTAACCGTTCCGATTCAGGGTGACATAGCTGAGAGCATCCGGAAGCCAGGTCCCCACCAGAGTCGATGCTTGGCACCTGCTGTCACAAACTACACCAGCTGAAGCAGACTTGAGCCAGGTCTCTCACTCAAGAAGCCACTTCTCAATAAGTAGGGAACATCTGGGAATTAGAAATGTCTGTCTGTGCTTTATTGTTCTTTAAATCCACTGCAGGTTAACTCTGCGTGCCCACCTCATCCTGGGCTTCCTGATGGAAACGGGTTCTTAAAGAGAACCAGTGCTGTCTTCACCCTGAAGAAAAACTTAGATGAAGCTTGTCAGTTCAACACGTGTTTAGTGAATGTCTGCTTTGTGTTTCTGGCACCTGTGCCAAGTTTTTAGAGATTTCAGGCATCTTAAGGATGCAAATTCCTGTTTGGATTTATGCTCCAACTCTTCCCAGCATTTTGTCTATAGCCCTGCTTGCTTTAGAGTGTGCTTGAATAAAAAGGCATTGCTGCTGAGGCAGCTATAAAAAACAGAAAGAAAAAGGTACTTCTTCCAGAATTAACGAACTCATCTTTAAAGCACCTTCAAATGAATTTTTTTCTGTCTGATTTTGAGGTGGAGTCAAAATAGGTGGTCTTTTATTTTTGCTGTTTGGGTTACCAGCTCTTTGGGTCTGTCAGACCTTAGGGGTATCATGTATCTTGGCTGCTTGAAGCCTGGGCCCTCAGCCCTTTACATTCCCCTCCAGAAGGGAGGCCCGGTGCTTTTCTCTCTGGGTCAAAACTTCCCCTTATCATGTTTCTGGACTACATGATAAGGGGAGCTATTTATTAATCTGCGAAACCCAATCTCTTAGCTGCCCATGATATCTAGGAGGGGGTAGTATTTGTTTTAAAGAAGCGTTGTCAAAAAAAACAAAAAAGAAGCATTGTTTCCTTGGGAGGGCAATTTCTGTCTGGACTTTGAAGGGGGCGTAGTTACCACACATTACTATCCCCACCGCCGCCACTTCTTTACCTCTCTCCCAGCTTTTGATAAAAGATGACATCAGATCTTGAGGCAGTCGGGTCACAATTCTTGAGAATGCTTATACCCCAGGGGCGTTTCCTGCTCTAGTCCTGTTTTTCCAGTTGAGTATTGGCGTTTCCCTGAGGCTTGCTCACGGACATGTCTGATTGAAGACTAAGGATGGTTGATACAAGTCATTACTGTCACCTTTCCCACCCTCTGTAATTTACATTTCTTTCTCTGGGCTGGTCCTGGAAGTTGACACCTTTTGGCAAAGCTTAGATTTAGGAGAAGTATTTCAAGTCCCTGTTCAGATGATCTGTGGTTTCTCTTTGCTTCCTCTGCCTGCAGCCCTGGCAGACCATACTGTCTGGATCCCCAATGGAAAATAGTACTGAGATGAAACACATTCCTGGGGTATTTAAACTCTCTCTCTGCCACCTTTGTAAGAGTGGGAGGCTGGCAGAGAGATGCTGCAGTGCTTGATAATCGTTTGGCCCCATTGAAATTTCCAAAGGGAGCTCTTGCCGGTGCTTAAACCCCAAATTCCTGAACACCTGAGATTGCATGAATCTAGCACAGAATATCCATTCTTGCCCCAATGTACCCCCTTCGTCTCCATCTTAATCTTTAAAACAAAACAAAAAACCCAAGCCCAGGCCAAGGGTCATTTTTACTTGAAACCAGGAGAGTGGGGGAGTAACACGAGAGATGAGGGGCAAGCTGTGTGGTGAGGCATCCTGCTCCTGTTGTGTGTTCCAATCACTGAGGACTGTGAGCCAGTGCCTTTCCTTCGCCTGGAGATGGAGCCCATCTCTTGCCACCTGGGTGAGGAGACCCTCTGCTACCCAGTGGCGAACCTTAAAGAGGGTGTCTTGGAGAGCCCAGAGGACACTCACATTTTTCGGGTGTCCATTTTAAGCATCTTTAAAATGTTTTATATATATTAAAAAAAAAAAAATGTTCTTCCCTGTCGTTGTGCCACCAGTGCCCCAGTTCCATCCATTCTGAATGGAAAAACAGAGACTGCCAGTACTTTCCTTGGTCTTCCCTTCGTCTCCCTTAATGTGGGTATCCCCTTACCCGGCCTGTCCATTTCACTGTCGTGGATGGAGAACAGAGGGCACCACGCAGTCCTGAGGCAGTCCTGTGTGACTCCGTGATCAGGTTTTTGTTTCTTGTTTTTCTAACTGTCCTTCCAAACCAGCAAGTGTTTGGAAATTAGGGGGAAAGTTAAATTCTCACCAATGGTTGCTGTTACACTTGAATCAATAAAGATCTTGAGTATCACCTTGGTGTTTTTAATTTTTTTTTTTTTTTTTTTAAATTTCAGGTGAAATCCTGTTGGCACATTTTGGGCATCTTGCCTGGTGAGGAAGATGGGCAAAGGCAGTTGGCCACTTCATGTGTCAGTTCCTCTCAACATTTACGGAGCACTTTGTCCATCTGGCCCTGTATGTGCCAGGAGGTGATGTGTCCCTTCCCTAAGGAGCTTGGAGGTGAACACGTACATTCTGGGGCTGGATGCACCCAAGAAGGCCCTTCTTTAGGTACCAGCCTGGAGGAAGCCCAGACAACAGCTTTCCTGACGAGGGCTGCCTCTGCCCCTCAGGAGCACTTGTTAGAAATCCATCATATCTGATGTCTGAAAATAAACTAGACTCTGCTGTGTGAGCATCACATTCCTTGCTATTATTAATCCAGTGAGGCTCACATATTAGTATTGAGAGCAAGAATCCTGTCCTTTCAAGAATCCTGTGGACCATGTAAACAGGTCCACAGAACAAAACAGCGTAGAGGTTTAGAGCACAGGCTTTGGAGTGAGACAGGCTTGAATTCCTCCTGTACCACTTAGTAGCAGCCACATTCTCTCCGACAGGATTCCCAGTCTCTGTAACCTTTGGTGTCCTTCTCTAAAATAGGGTTAAGTTAAGAAGTAGGTCTTACCTGGATGACTGTGGGCTCAGGTGGGATCATGGCAAGCACTTAGCCCAGTGGCTGGTATGTCAAGAGCTCAGTTACAGCTCAGTTGGTGTGACCAGTAGAGGTGGGTCAACTGGGTCTGCTCTTCCCCAGAATGTGCAAGTTTGGGAGTGGAGCAGGCTTGTGTGACCGCTAGAAGGATGAAATAATCTCTTCAAGGGAAGATAATTTTGAAAGCCATTTCATATATCCTTTACTTTGCCCCAAAGGCAAATAGGGTATCAACTTGAAAGGCAATTTAGGATAGAGGGATAAGGCTTTTACTGCTAGTAAAAGGGGAGACTACATGATGGAGATTAACCCGACTGTGTTGCTGTGTGAGAGTCACAGCTGCTTCCCAGTTTCTGCTTTTATCTTTTCTCTACTCCTCCCTGTACCAGGCCCGCCCACTTCCCCAGCCAAGGGGAGTAATGCATCCAGTTTCCCCCAATCGGCTACTGACTTGGCACTGCTACAGGAACAGCGGAAGGAGACCTTTGCCTTCAGAGCAAGTTAAAATACCTCTGACTGAAAGCCCCTTCCTGGCCCTCAGGGTAGGGCAGGACTCAGTTCCCGTAGGCAGCATTTCCTCAGACTTAACAAACCCTGCACTAGCAGGTAGGTTCCAGAGCACGGAGCTGTGTTGTAGGCTCAGCCCCAAATACCTCTGGCCAGGCAGCAGAAGGCCCCTGCCGCTGACACACTGCACAGTGAGCTTTTAGCAGGGGTCAGCAAAACGTCCTTTCACTCCTTTGTGCCTGCGTCTTCTGCTTGATATGAGGTGGTGTCCTGTCATCAGTGGGGTTTGTCCTGTGACTTGGTAGAGCTGCTAACTGTAAACACTCCCACAAGCTATAGCCACAAATAGCTTGACCTTTTGCTTTCCTGGCCCCAGCCATAGAAGAACAGTTGGGCACCCATTTAGTACAGAGGATGCTTTAAAGCCCTGGGATAGGATTTTTACTCCCAAGAACTTAAGTTTGGTAGTGGAAGTGGGGTTTCAAATGTCTGGTTCCAAAGGCTAAGGCCTTGACCCAAAGCTAAGAGTGCAAAGACCCCTAGATGGTATGAAGGATGGTGCCCCTGGGGCTCCAGAGACCAGAGCTCAGCTCTTGGCCCTGCCACTCCTAGCTGTAGCATCATGCCGCTAGGCCTCACTGGGGTCTCATTTAGGAAAGAGGATGGTACAAAAATTGACCTCACAAGGCCTCCCCAGCTCTACTGTTTTCTAAGTAGAGTCAAATGCAGAACCCTATTGTGATTCTGAATTGTGGGGAGGGCAGGTTATTTCCGCTCCAGGGAATGAGCTACTGGGTCAGTTTTGTTGCTGAATCGGGGCATTGAGGTTTCTCAGGCCCAGGCCTGGCTCTAGCCTAGCCAACCCCTTCCTGGGCCAGGATTACTACCTTGACTCAACCAAGTCAAGTTTGAGTCCCCTCTAAACAAGTATTCCCACAAGATTGGAATCATTTTTCCTAAGGTTGGAGCATTAGTCTATGGGCTTCTTAGGAAAGCAGGGTAAGTTTACTGTGGACTGACATTCCCAATAAAATGGTCCCCTCGCCTTGCCAAACAAAAAAAGTACAGCCCCTGTTTTGGCAGTGCTCAATGAGACCAGCTGGCGAGAGAAAAGAAGAATCACAGAAATGCACTAGGATCCGCCTGCTTTAATTTCACAAGATGAGGTTGAGCAGTGAATTACTCACCGGAGGTCACACAGCTTCTCAGTGGCTGAGCTGCGACCATAACGCAAGTCTGCCACCCAGGGCAGTGTCTTCACCGCTATGGATAGGAAGCCCAGGGGCCTCATTAATAGCACGCATTGACAGACTGAGGTGAACTGTCCAGAGAGCTTTAGGCTTGGATGGATTGTGCCCGCCAAAGCAGACTGACTTGGGGATGCCCCAGGGCTCCAGCTTCTGTAGTCCAACATGGCCAGTTCTCTTGGACGAGTTCCTGCCTTGCCCTTCAAAGGCACCAGCTGGCCTAGGAGAACTATACAATGGCTTTATTGTATGTACAACTCATTAGCAGAGATCCACTCTGCGGGGGCTCCCTGACCCAACCTGAGGCAACCAAAGCCAATGGACTTTTTAAATTTTACATAGTGATAATCTTCAGGCGGCAAGGGTGTGGGTGAGTGTATGTCAAAGGCCACTTTTGAGAATACACAAAAGTTAAATACAACCTTGTCCCACCTCAAAAATAAATGCACATATGCTCCAGCTCTTGCATACAATTTCCGGGGGATCATGGGTTGAAAAAAGTCAGCTAAAGGACTCTTGCACTAGTGCTTTCACGTGCTACTGTCTGTTCAGCAAAGAGAAAACCCAGCAAGCCTGCTTCACAGGCTTCCTCCTCTCTCTCCTCTGTGCTCAACCAGACCCCACAGAGCCTTCAAGGACAGGGTGGCAGCCCTTCCTCCTTAGGTCTGGTGGACAGATGGACTTTTCCCCCTCTTTGTTTCTCCTCCTTGGATTAGATGGTTATCTTGTCTTCTAGGAGCTTCCCAACCTTCCAGGGTACAGGCAAATCCAACACACCTGCAGGAGCTCCTCAAAGGCACCCACATTCTTCCACAATCATGTCTTTATGATGGTCTAGAAGGACTCGGCCATTGTCCACGTACAGCATACTCAAGGGCTTGGTCTTCACTGGGGCACAGCAGGTGGAAGGGACTCGGTGGGGTTGGTACCGTTTCAGCAGACTCTGAAAGGGAGGACAGGGGTGTCAATTCACATCCCAGTGGTGAGGTCAGAATGGTGTCATTTCTGGGTAAAGGGTGAAAAAGTTACAGAGAGTTAAAATCAGTTTCTGGGGGCAAAAATAGAAAATTCTTTTCATAAAGGAATCAGAATGCCAATACATCATCAACTCTAATATCTAAAGGTACACGGGCCTCTCACCACTGCGGCCTCTCCCGTTGTGGAGCACAGGCTCCGGATGCGCAGGCTCAGCGGCCATGGCTCACGGGCCCAGCCGCTCCGCGGCATGTGGGATCTTCCCGGACCAGGGCACTAGCCCGTGTCTCCTGCATCGGCAGGCAGACTCTCAACCACTACGCCACCAGGGAAGCCCTAAAATAACTTTTTTTAAACAGAAGATTCTAAAAGCTGTATCTGGGTAGAGCAGTAGGTAACATATGTTCTCCTGTTGTTCTAGTCTAGAGTGCATACCAACTTTAAAAATCTTCCAAGAAACTCCTGGTTTAGTTCCAGAAATATGAAGAAGAGAGTCATGCGGAAATTCTTGTGGGATTTGCTTTGTTGCCCAGAGAAGGGCAAACAGAGTCAACGGGAGAAAAGGTAACAAGCCCTTGGCATTCTGGAACTGGGCCCTGTCCCTGTGGTCCAGTGGTGGCTTTTTGGGTCAGTGTTAGATTTGGTGACTGGGACTATCTGGGTTTCTGGTTCCCTCTGATCGTGCTGCAGGTAGGCTGGTGGACAGAAGTGGGAGAGACTCAGGAGGGCCTGTGCCCAGGACAGGTCCTCTAGGATACCAGCCCCCACCACTGCCTCCCTCTCACGAGCTCAGCTCACATTCTCCCCAGAGCTTCTGGACCCTGCCTGAGGCTTGGCATGGAGAATGTACTACAGGTCCAAGAGATTCTCAGTCTAGGCCTCATAGAGTGAAAATAAAAACACTTTGATCCCATGTGACCTTTGAGAGCAGGTCAGGACCACCATATATAAGCTCTCTTCTCTGCTTTCTCCACCTCATTTTCCTTCCATTCCTCTCCCTCCACCACCTTCTAGACCATAGGCTGATTAGTGGCACCTGGTGGTAGCCTCTGGCTTTATTACTCCTGCAAAATGGGTGTCCAACTCCTGTTTTTAGGCAGCAGAAGTACAGTGGCTGGAACAGTAATATCTCTACCTTGGCCTCATAAACGCGGCCCCCATTGCATCAATGAGTTACAGACTTCTAGTAATGGTAAGACAACATTATACCTGTTACCTGCTAACTATTGATACTACACATGTGGTATGCATATCATCTCATATAACCCTAGAAGTAAGGCATTGCTATCCCCATTTTACAGATGAGGAGACTGAGGCTCAGAGAGAGTAAGCAACTTGATCAATATCACATAGCTAATGAGTAGGATTCAAACCCAGGCCTGTCTATTCCCAAACTCCAAATTCTGAACTTCCTTTCCTAGAATGTCAGGGCAGTGGGAGGAACTGAGACCCTCCAGTCTACACACTCCACCCCTAATTTTTTTTAATTTATTTTATTTATTTATTTATTTTCCACCCCTAATTTTATGACAGAAGGAAAAAGTGCCAGGAAAGCAGTGTGTTCAGGGTCACCTGACAAGGCATGAC